CCTCCTTCCCGCCCTCCCTCCTGCCCTCCCTCCCTCCCTCCCAACTCCACGTTGGCCACCTTCACGACATCGGCCATGACCAACGTCGCCAGTCTCCTTAATTCGGGCGTCTGCACGATGTGGTCCACGCTTTTCCCGCCCAAAATGCAACCCAACCCGTTAAAGGGGATGTTCCAGCAGCACTTGCTCCATCGACCATGCAGCAGGCACGGCGTCGTTTCCACCTGAAAGAGGGAAGGGGAAGGAGGGAGGGAGGACAGGTGAGGGGGAAGGGAGGGAGGGAAGGAAGAAGGGAGCTCAACAAGCGCACCTCGACCTTGGCACCTTTGAAGAGACCGGCGACGAGGGAGAGCTCGACGGGGTCGTCCTGTCCAAGGAGGAGAAAGCGGGAAGGAGCAAGGAAGGTCCGGGTGGGAGGGCATTGAAAGGGAAAGAACGGGAAGGGGAGGGAAGGCGGGAGCCGGGGAGGGGCAGGAATGACGGCCTACCTCGTAATGCCCGATCATCAATTTTCCGTACTTGAGGTGGGCAATCTGGGGGCGGGGGGAGGTGGAGCAGGAGGGAGGGCAGGAAAGGGGAAGTTGAGCTTTGGCTTTGCCGATTTGATCTCGGTGTTGCCAGAGAATAGAGGAGGGAAGAAGGTGAGCGTGCCGAGCATCCCTTCCTTCCGTCCCACCCCTCCGTCTTCGGTCCACTCCCCGCTCACCTCCCCCGAGCCCACCGGGCCGCGGTTGGCGCACACGAAGGCCATGCCTCCGAAGACCCTCTTTCCATCGATCCCCTGCCCGACCAGATCCTCCTCCAAGCCGTAACCGTTCATCAACACCAAAATCCGGGTCGCATTTCCGACCACGCGGCGGTCCTCGAGCAGGCTGGGGATGGCGTGGAAGGAAGATGACTTGAGGGTGACAATGACCCAGTCGACGGGCACGTATGCCTCCCCTTCTGCTCCTTCTATATCCCTCGTCTCCTCCACGACCTTCCGCCGTTCCGCATCTCCCGCCATCCCTCCTGCTTGATCGCCTTTCCCTTCCCCACCCCCTCCTTCTCCGGCCCCTTTCCTACGTGCCCGCCTTGCCCTCGATACCGCAACTTCCTCAATGGATCGTGCGATGGATGGTTGTGGGAAAAACATGTCCCCGTCGGGGGAGCTGATCCGCAGTCCCGTCGCAGCCACAGCATCGTACTCTCGGCGCATCAAAAACGTGACGTCGTGCCCAGCCTCGCATAAACGCCCCCCGTACAGAGATCCCACAGCACCCGCACCCAACACTAGGATCGATTGTCGGGCAGGTGCTTGATGTACCGGGGAGGGGGCGGTGGCGGAAACGGGGGCAGCGGTGGAGGACAGGAAAGACATCTGGATTAGAACGGGGAGAGAGAGATACAGCTTCCACAATGAGGATCAAACGCTTCGAGGTTTGGAGATTTTCTCCCAGGAATGATTTATTAGGGAAAGTATGGGCACGAAGATGAGGCCTTGCGTCTCGGGTTTGTAGTCCGGAAACGGGGCTGGGGGAGGTTGGACATATAGCACAAAAAGAGGATGAGAAATCCACCGTCGTACCTGCACGAGGCAGATTCTACTTTTTCTGATATTCTGCAGGAAAGTGCGACCGTAGCGATGCTGCAACGGTGAGCTTTTAGAGTAAGGCGGCTGACAATTTATGGAATTTGCTCTAGGAGTGAAAAAAGAGTACCCCACAGGAAGCGAGGTAGTAAACAGGAAAAGCAGCAGGGAATACAAGTTGACGGGCAATAGGCGTCTCCTCCTTCTGCTGCTCATCCTATTGCATGTCATGGTCGTGCATTTTGATGAAAACATGTGAAATGCATGGCATGCGCGAATATGGGCATACTTTCCGCCAAAACGCATCATTGTATGATGGGTAACCGGGGAGGCTCAAGTACAGGTTGAGCTATTCCAAAACCGTCTTTTTTCTCATAATTTCACCACTGAAGTGATGAAACACATATGACAAGATAGTCTTTAATCATGTCATATCATCTTACGGAAATCATGTCCAATTTCCTGTCATACTGCCGCACACAGGAGCCAGGTTGCGTCTCTCTGACTCTTGCACTTCACCGACTCATACACCATCTTATGGAAATTCAAACGGCGTCGTCATCTTTTCCTGAGCCTGAGCATTCATGAGTCGCAACAATTCAGCAATGCAAGTCGCGGTACCTCCTCGTAAGCATGCTTATTCTCTCAAGGTTACCGATGCAGTCAGTAGATGATCCTCGCTTGCCTGGTTGTGCTGGGGGGAACACCTACGATGTGCTTCCCATGCCCTATCAAGTGGGCGGGCACAAGCCTAAAGATGCCAGTGATCCTCCTTACATGTTGCGCCTGCAACCACGCGTCGCACCCCATTGCTCGAATCCTTCCTCCACATCCTCAAACGATGCGACCCAGCCTCCTCGACTTCTCAAAGTGATCCAAGCAGGGGACAAGGGAGCGCGAGAAGCAGCTTTCTATCACAAGCTTTTCGGACAGGACGGCATGGATGGTTTGAAGGAAGATGAAATAAATGTTTGGCGCTCCCTACGTCCCTTTGTCCCGTGTTATTACGGCGTCCTGACACGTTCCGATCCGACGGGCAATCCTCGTCGCTACCTTGTTTTGGAAGATATATCAGCACCTCCCAATCCGGGGGTGAATGATGGCTTCTGTCATTGTCCGACAATCTTGGACATCAAAATTGGTCTTCGGACATACGCTCCCTGGGCTACATTGCAGAAGCAAAAGCGAGAGAGAGATAAATACATGCACCAAGAAGCTGTCGGGTTTCGGATTGTGGGCATGCGTGTGTACGACGCAGACGCCAAGAGCTACGTCGTGGAGGGAAAGGAGTACGGACGGAATCTGAGGCCGGAGGAAGTCTTGTTTGCCTTGGCACGCTTTTTGGGGCGGGGTAGGAGCCTTGGGGTCGGGGGGCACGCGCGAAACGACCCAGGCCCGGGAAGTTTGCGTTCAAGGCAGGCAAAGGATGGTCGGCAGGAAGGAGAGTCTGAAAGGCCGAAAGGGAAAGGAGAGGCGTGCCCTGAAGGTGAGGGGGCGGTGCCTGAGATGGAGAGAGGGGAGCAAGAGGGGGCGGTGCGACGCCTGGACTGGTTCATAGCCCGCGTGGCGGCCTTACTCGACTGGTTTCAAGGCCAAGCCTGCCTTTGCTTCTGGTCTTCAAGCCTCTTATTTGTCGATCACCAGGCCTGGGACCGTGCCGGGGGTCGGGGTCCCGTGTCCTGGGTGCCGCGGGGCCAGGGTGCGAGAAAGGAGGGGGCGCCGCCGGAGGAAACAGCGGCGTTGGATGTGCGGATGATCGATTTCGCCCATGTCCAGGTCCGGGAGGGAGGAGACGGGGAGGAAGTCGAAGGAGGGGAGGACGGGTGGGATTCCGGGCGTGAGAACTACGCGCAGGGGTTGAGGTCCCTCTTGGAACATTTGCAGCGACTGCGACGAGAAGCCGCGGGCATGCCTTGACTTGGGCTTCGGAGATCGCTGCCGTCTCACAAAAACTATGTGTTTGACCTGCATGCACACCATGACGAAGCGTCGGCAACACTCGCGGCAGAGCGGTCGATTGTACACGCGCGGACTCGAGCCGACGGTGTGGGAAAAGTACTTCAAAGGAATGAGATATTTGAGAAGCACGACGGGGTCGATCCATCCGATATTCTTCACTGCGTCCTCCTCATTTACCCTCCGCTGTCACGTCGATCTCTTGACTCCTCCCTGCGACGTGGGTGCTCGGCCGCAGTAAGGCCGCATCGATTTTGTACGCACTTTGACACTACTATAATCACATCCAATCTCAGGCCGCATCCTCCCCATACTCTCTTCCAGGTCATGTTCTCATCTCCCCTTACATCCAACGCCAAAATTTCTCACATGCGTCTCACTTCACTCACCGATCTTACACTTATTCCAACTTTGTTCATTCTCATTTCCCACGAACGCACATCGCCCCCCGATACCCAAATATCGCCACGTGAAGCATTATCCTATGCATTTCACGTCACAAGATAGTATCTCGTCATCTGCTACAGCAATTGCTTGCTGTCTTTGCGACCTTCTTCCAAAACTCAGGGGATTACCCATCCCTTCGACCTCCTCTACTGCTTTCCGTGGACTACGGGAAGACTACACGCCTCCTCGGACATCCAGTGCTACCTGGCATGGCTCCTACGACAGGCGTCTACGGGTTCCCTCCTTATCACAACCACACCTGTGTGCTGCTCTCCACGCCTCATGCTTGCTTGCGTTCGCGCCAGCATTCGACCTTCTTTTGTTGTCATGCTCTGTCAGTATTACGAACGACACGACGCACCGCGCATTCCGCCACGGTGACGTCATGTTCACCCCCCCGTGTCTCCTCCTAAATGCAAAATTCGAAGTGTGCTGATCATCCAATTACTCATACATGGTACATTCTCTCATATTATCTCGGATTTAAAAAACATGCTATCATCTTCGATTTCGTTTCGTTGTCATTTCCTTTCTGATGGGTGCTCTCTTACATTCTATCTTGAACAGTTCTCCTCTCAAACCCTACATTTCATCCTAAATTAAAAAAGTGCCTTCGAAAATTTCTTCTATGACCGCCAACTCCAGACTTCGGTCGCTTGCTGGGTTTTTTGACTCTTACAACTCTTCTTGCAGAAATCGGTAGCTCTCATGAAGCTTGAAAATGGTCAGCCGCTGCAGCACGCTACTCATCACCTTGCGTTGAAAACATAATAAGTGTGGACGGACAAAAACAAGTGGATTTCTCCAAGTGAAAGCGCTCAAAGCTCTCACGCACACTCGCCTATCCCACCCGAAATGCACGCAGTGGCCCGTCAGGGTGCTCCTAGGACCATTGTTGCCGCTGTTGCTGCTGCACCCAGTGCTGCTGTTGTTGCTGCCAATGCTGTTGCTGCTGCAGCCAACGCTGCTGTTGTTGCTGCTGTTGGTATTGCTGGTATTTACTCTGCGGCTGCAAATTCACAGACGCCTCCAGTCGGTTTTGAGGGGGCGGCATGGCGTGCATGCGCCCTTCCACCAGGCAGGCCGCCTGCGCGGGCGGGGGCGGGGCCGGATGGTTCCCAAAATAATGCGCATACACCTGCTTGGGATGTTTCCCATGTTGCAAATGCGGGACGTGGAAGCTGGGTCGACACGGCACGGGGAGGCCGTGGGGTGCGGGGAGGACAGGCTCCTTCCCAGCACTTCCCTTCGAGAAGGCGGCGCCGGAGCCCACTGGTGGGTGATAGAAGCCCCCTTGAGGCTGTCCACCCAGACGTTGCACGGGGCCCGGGTCTGAGCGTGCCCCCAGTCCTCTTTTTCCCCGCCTACCAGGTATCGCGGCCAGGGGGGCACCTGGGGGATAAAGAGATGCCTGCTCGACGACTCCTATGTCCTCGACGCCGGAGGGACTGATCATTTGCACCCCTGGTTCCACTTCCGCGCAGGGAGCCGGCGTGTGCGGCACGCACGTCGGCCTTCCCCCCAACTGAGAGAGAAGGGCGGGGGGCAGGGCCAGGAATTGAGGCAAGTAGATGCTACCCCCCCAGCCTTCCCCCCGGTCGGGGAGCGCGGCTGCTTTCTTCGCCTCTCGAGCCAGCACTTCCAAACAATTATGGGCTTCCTCCCAGTCAATTTTCAGGTCCTTTGCGTCCAGCGTCTGCAACCATTCCATCTCCATGCCCGGGCTCATTTCCTCTTCCCCATGGTGGCCGCTCTCCATCGGTCCGCCCA